GTGTACATGTTATTATATTTTAAATGTAAAAATAATTAAATATCAAGACATTTTATTAATTTCATTAAATATAAATACACGAACTATATATAATTTTTCGTATATTTTGTAATTACCGTTTTAGGAACATCCATGTAAAATAACTGTATAATGGATCAAATTTTCTKTCTTATTTCAATTTAAACCAATTTGTTTTAGGGCCAGCCGGAAAACGATCGACAAATCGTGTAAGAATGGTGGTGGCATCTGGTTGCCAATCTCACGGACATCATCAAAAATTCATTGCATTATTGATACTGTGCTTTTTGGACTGTGGTCAAGGTGATGGTAAAGGTGAGTTTGGTTTCGTTTTTCGTTAACTGCGGTATAGCTTTATTTTCGAATTGTGTGTTCCACAGCTGCCTTTTCCTGTTTATTYCAAACACCCTGCACCTGCACTGTTATCACTAAATTGGTCTGATTTAATGGCACCGTGTTTGGGATACGCAATACCTACGTCATATGGTTCCAAATTGCCAAAGTTTCACAATCAAGAAAGTCCTTAATATCTAACCCATCCTTCTAATTATAAYGGGAGCTCTAATGGCACCAGTGCTTCTGATACGGATGACCTAAATTTTGCAACGTAACACGACGGCTGCAGGGCGCGCACGATTATTTTAATTATAATTACACGTAAWCRAATTATGATATTAACATAATATTATCAGAAATGATAGTTGAAAAATTTTTTTGGGCAATGACTTTTACTCCTACAAAAATCAAGATCTAGCCACTATTTTATCAAAATTTGATGTCTTAAACGTTATACTGAAGCTGCAGTTGTAGTACCATGTAGTAAACATTTTTTCCTTGGATTCTAATAAAATCGACCTTGCTAATAATGATTATCCTATAAGATAAATAGGTAGGTACTTAATGAGACTATTAACTTGCAATTTGCTTAAAAATAACGTATTACGAGCATAAATATTGTATATAGATAAACACACGTGAGCGTTTTTGACAAATATTTTAAACACGTCTTAGCTTCTGATTATTGACGAGACACATATAGAAATCGCTAGTTTCACAAATTCAAACCCGTTTACCAACTACAACAATGTTCTATTATATGCATTGGTAAAATGTATAGGTACACAAAATAACGAAATAGTATATAGTATACGATAATAAACATTTTAACAACGAAACACAATAACAATGTCAATTGTTAYACACCCCCATATGCGTAATAACGTATTTTTAWTTTGATGCTCTGTCCTTTTGAAATAACATATTTACATAGGTATGATATTTCGCAAGAGCAAATTTTCATTAATATAACTATTATTAATTTCAGTAATTCCATTGATTTCATAAATTATATGCTTTTTCATCCTATAATACTCGGTTTATATTTTATAGTTAAATTTATATCATGTATTGCATATTATATTACAGTAACTAAACATATTTAACATAAAAAATAGATTGATAACAAGCCCAAGTATTGTAATAATATAATTTTCATCCTACTTCACGATAATGTYTCTTTTAAAAATGATGACGTGTTTTCATTTTGAATAACTGCTGATAATAGTTTATTTGAAAAATATCTAACCCAACCTAACCTATTACGGTAGAACGTATAAACTTAGTTACTAAAAACATGAAATGCAGTTAAGTAAGGACATATTATATACAACACAATATATCTATAAAAAAATAATTATAAGTTACTTTTTRTTCAATTTTAACTTTTGAGCATTGAAAAATATCTTAGAATATGAAATAATAATAAAAACACAATATTTTATTCAATATTTTTTTTTAATTTATATTTTATCAACGTATCACAAAAATTAAACGATTTTGATAACTTCTTACGTTTAGTTTCATAGATCTTGGATTTATGATAGTTGAACCCTAATTAGGGGTATGTAATGAAATTGATGACTTATTTTATCATATTTTAATATAAAACTGTTTTAAGATTTATTTTATTTGTACTATATTTTATAGAGTAGACAAACAGTTGTATCATAACATTTACGTAGTCAATTATTTAAATTTAAATAATTTCAAAAATAATTATGACACTAAAATGAATGACAATAAGAAGAAGCATTTTTTTTTTTACACAATATTACATAATTATTAGATATTTTTGAATTGTGTTACTCATAACACTTAAATTAATTGTGTTATATTTTAAAATTAATTTCAATTTATATGAAATAACTATATTTTATTTATTATAAATAGGTGACTATTGTTCTATTTTTTGAACAATAAAATTAACCAAATCAATGTTGGTAATACTATTTTCTTTTTTCAAATTATTTAATATAATTGATGTGTAAAAGTATTCTTGAATTTTGCATTCACATTAAATATAATTTTTTAAGGTGATCGAATTTTCTTTAGAAATAATTATAAAAATAAATTATAAATTGAACTGTAAGACAGGCAAGCAGTATACATGATAATACTATTAACCATAGTAGTCACGTAGTTATAATATTATATATACAATGATACGTTATGTATTTGAAAAGTATTAGAATCAGCCTGAAAATCATGTTTAATTTTAAATATTTCTTGAAAAATATTGGCAAATTTTGATTTTAAATTCATAGTACGTGATTCATTTAAAAGTAACTTTACATTCCATAAAATCAGYTTATCTAATATTATCCTAAGAACTATTATGCGTGATGCTCATATTAAACAATTTGTGAAAGTTATATTATGATAATCTATTCTACATTAGTATTTAAATTGTTTCAAATAAAATATTATGTGTATTATGTRAGTATGTAACACTATTGTAAATCGTACTCATTAAATATTTAAATTGGTATAAATAAGTGTAACTCATATTTGGTGATAAAATGATTGATGAAAATATYGAGAAACTACTGTCAAAATCATCAACTTTAATATCAAACCTAAAATTATATGACGTGAGTTTTGATTAACGATTTAAAATAGTAATATTATACCTACTTCCTAACGGAACGACAGCAATAATAAAGTGTTACTCGACATATGCTTTTCCGAAGAACAAAAAATCGAAAAATGTCTATTAGAACTAGAAAACAGTTTACCTAACAGTAACAGCGTGTTTTTGGTGTCTACCCTGCAGGTCTTGCGTGCCTCATATAACTAACGGTTAGCGTTCATTCGTTAAAGTCCCGTGTAAACCCACTAGCTTACCGCGGTCGATGCAGAGAGAACGAGTTTTGATTTCCCATAGGTATAATAGTTGTGAAAGAGGTTGGATGTTCAGAGGTGGCGTGTCGCGGGTAGGAAATAAAGGGGAAACTATTTTTACCAACAGCCGTTATAATAATAGCAATAATAATAGTCATGATAATAATAATAATAATAATAATAATAATATAACGGTACTGAAGAGAGCGATTAGCGCGTGTAGAAATCGTAAAAGTGTGTAACAGCAATGGCGAATCATCGTCGATTTTACAGAAAACCAACGGTGGAGTGGTGCAGCTGCAGTTTTGTTCTCTATGATGCCGTGGCCGTCACTATGAATCTATCATTTTGCAGAATTGGTGCGCCGGTCGAAAATAATATATAATATGTATATGTGTGTGTGTGTGTGTGTGTGTGTGCAATAAACCGAGCACGGTCATACACGGGGCACGAGATGTGACGATGTCGGACGGATTGCGGTGCGGTAAACGAGAAGCTTTTTGTATAAGCCGAGCGGCACTATTATACGTCATACACAATACTTTTGACAATGATGGAAGAGGTGTGCTCGAACATAAATGTTTAACGTTCACTGTTGTTGCTATTGCACGCGGCTGTTATTGCAGATCCGGAATAATTCACAAATATTTGTCCATCGAATTCGCTTTTATAGTCAGCCTTTTGCTACACTGTTCACCTCCACTGACACTGCCATAACCACTTCCACCATTTTCTCCAGTTCCAACAAATCGGCCACATCCACTGCCCCCCCTCCCACTAAACACTTACTGTTGTAGTACGCGCTTTACATTTCACGTACAAATGTACAATACAAATACGACTACACGGGATATTGACTGTTGAAATAAAAATCTACATTATTCATTCCAGTTCTGTTGTTCTAAAAATATCTTGCAGCATTGCGCGTGAGCGCTTTAAGTTGCTACTGTGGTATAGTTTAATTGATCGAAAAGTAAATCACCCTATACACAAGAAATATACTTGCAATACTGTCTTTGTACATGATAGGACATTTTAAACAACATGTGTATATGAATACATTTTATTATATAGGTAGGTAGTTCATAACAGTATTTGACATGCGAATTTAAAAGAGTTGGTATACAAGAGTACAGAACGTTCATCCAATTAACAATTTATGTAAGGTTATGAATTCAGCCCAATCATTAAGATTATTTATGGGTGGTAAAATAATAATCATCGAAGAGAAAACATTACCCAACTTACTTTAAATTTCTGGTAACATAAATCTTGAAAAACATTATTATAATTTCAGAGTAAGTAATTGAATGCATTGAAAAACAAACTATTTATTTGGTTGCCCATAAAAAATGGTCCACAATATTTTCACATATTAGGTGATATTTGCGGTAAATGACGTTTTATAAAATTGTTGTAATTCAAAATATTCATAATATTTGAAATTAATCGTTTGTTATAGGACACACAAATACATTTAATGGTATATTATTATACAGTAAATTATTTTCTGAAAAATAAATTAAAACATCCATGAATGATAATTGGCTTACGGACTCGATATCATAGTTTTCAAATTTCTACTGATTTGTTAGGCATTAAAATAAAATTACTKTCATAATAATATTATGTTATGTGAATAGGATGTTTTATCAAGTTTGATGTTCTGGTCTATTTATGTCACCTTAGTTTATCGTATAATAATTGGTTCATATATTATTGTGTTTCAAAGAGCACTGTTTCTTCTGGTGGTTCAAGCGTCATAATATATATATATATATATGATAATATATAATAATATATTATATATTTATATATATATATTATATATATAAGATAAATGTATCTAGATCCGGTTTCGGAAGGTTGATTCACGGGAAGAGTTTACTATGCAGTTATCTTTAACATTTGTAGTTGTAGAGAGCTCGAAAATGGATTACTAGATACCGTAAAGAAGCGTTTTAGACTTTAGAGTGAAACATCGGTTCTTATATWAAATGCGAAACCATGGTACGCCATTATTATWATATCACAATTACAAGTCAAGTCATCTTAGATTGCTTATAAATTATAAAATATTAAATAAGTTTAGAAAATTAAAACAGTATTATACGAGTTCTTGACTCTTAATATTT